AACTCTATTTCAATGTCTAACAATGTGTGTACAGTACTCCAGAAAGGTTTTCATAAAGTTTAATATATTAACTATATTATTTTCTGTAATTCAGCTTTTTGGAAAGTTTGGTTCAAATGATTATTGGAAAGAGTTTGTCTAATATATACTAATATAAAAAAAAAATAAATTCTATTACAATATATATATATATTTTTAAGAAGTATTTAAATATCAGTTTGTAAAACTATTTTGATAAGTATATTGTAATTATGAATTATTTTAATTAAAACTTTGGTATAAAATCTTTAAAAGTAAGATTAAGATAGAAAGAGTTTGCTTAAAATAATATATATAAGGTTTTATTATATTTTTTAAAAATTTGTTATATTTATATATATATATAGTTAATTTTTATTTTATTAATAACTTTAAAAAAAATAACATTATTAAATTTTATTATATTAAAAAACAAACATTATAGTTTTGTTCTACTTATTTTGTTATATATTTTTATAAAAATTTTTTTTAAATATATTTTTTATTTATTTATAAGATTTTAAAAATTAAAAATTTTTATATTGTAATAACTAAATTAATAAAATAACAATAATTAAAATATAAATTTTATTTTAAAAAATCAATTCTTATATAAAGATATAATACACACAAACCACTTTATAGTCACGCCTTTTGGATACAAAAAGCAGTTTTTAATTTCAATAAAGTTAAAGGCATAACCTCACCTTCAATATTTTTTTTTAAAAAACAAAAAGCAGTAATTATAAGTTGATGTAACTAATATAAAGGGTTTCTATATAGTTCTAAATAATTGTAAAAATAAATTTGTAATTATATTAATTTTGTGACTATATAGGAGGTGACTATAGAGAGGTTTGACTGTATATAGTCAAATATTATAATTACTTTATATAGTCAAATATTCTTATAATTACTTTATCTAGTCAAATATTCTTATAATTACTTTATCACATGTTTTATCTAGTTGTCCTCCTATATAATCACATCATAGTAAAACCTTTTTATAATCACGCCTAATAAACTTATAGAAAAATACTTCTTTATAAGCACATTATAGTAAAAAACCTTTTTATCGTCACACAATTGGCATAATACGAACTGCGTGATTATAGAGAAGGATAACTGTACTATGCGAACATACGTATATTTCTCCAACGCAATTAAATAATACCGAATCAGAAAATATAAATACATATTATAATCACGATCATTAATAACGATAATCATAAAAATTATCAACCAAAGAGGTTTGGAATCAATTTTAGATTGATTTAAAATCCTGACCACTCGGATAAGTTTAAATTTAGAATCCACTTGGATGGATTCTAAACATAATGAGATTCTATTATGACGCACAGCGTCACGCCATAGCAACAAGCATTTTATAATATACTGTATATATGTATATTTAATAAAAATATTTTATATAAATCCAGGTTTCAGAAATTTATATATGCTTTAAGATACAAACACTAATATAATAAATATATATAGTCATCAATCCTTTAAAATAGGAAACAAATATTGTTACGTACGTACAATTCGTTTGGCTAATTGGCAGCAAAATCAGGCCTATTTTAGAATTTATCGGTAAAACGATCGGGATTTGACGAACTATTATGAATCTATCGGTAAAACGGTCGGGATTTGACGAGCTGTTATTTATAAAGAGCATCTATTGCAATGGTGTTCAATCATATATATGTATAAATTTTAAATATATCGATATGTATAATAAAAGTTAGTGCCAGGTTTAAATGAGCCGAACTTTTTTTACTTATGGCACCAAATACTGATCACTTGGCGTATTTTAAGAATTTTTCTATCTTTTAAATATAAAAGGTCTATACAGTAAACGTCATAATAACATAAAATTATATTTTTAAAATAAAATTTTAAATAATTTTATCCAAATTTTATATAAATTTTTGATTTTGAAATTATTTGGAAATAGCATATACTGTATTGAACAAATACAGTATATTGTTAATATATACAATAATTATACAGTATACCAATATAAAGTTGCTAGAAATATGTAGTTATTTACTGAGATAGTAAATTCTAAATATGCTATATAATTAGTAATAAGTTATGACTAAATTAATTATGTTTTTGTCTGTAATGTCAACAATCCAAAATCCCAAAAATACGAAGAGTGTCTTTAACACATTTTTATCGTGTTACATACAAGGTAAGCCAGCCTTAACACAGTTGAATACAGGAATAGACACCAAAGTCAACAATGTAGAAAATACGCGTTTGAATTAGTTGGAAATAATGACATTTTTGTTAACATAGTAATAAGCAAGAAAAAGAATTCGAGTACAGAATTTATTCATCAATTCTTAAAATTCATTCATCGTAGCCCTCTTTGCTATATTTTTATCAACATTAAATCTTTTGAACCTTTTTCTCTCTTTCTTTCGAAATTCACCTTCTCCGACCCTTCTCAAAATTGCAAAATACAAGGGACCCCAACCATCACATTTATCTGGTAAGACAATCCACCCTTTCTCACATGGTTCTCCTATCACCCACTCTCTTTTAACTTCTTCCAAAGGTACCCAACTGTTCCTTAATATTTTCTTTACAACTTCTTCATTTTCAAACTTATTTATAGAACAAGTAACATAAACCAATAAGCCACCAACATGTATACCTTTAACGGCATCTAATAGCATTTTGTATTGTTTTTGAGACATAATTTTAGATCTGGACGGTTTCCATTTTAAAAATTCACTAGGAGAATGTAATAAATGGCGTTCAGCAGAACACGGAGCATCAACTAAGATTTTATCATAAGTAGGCAGTGAGAGGGTTAAATCTAATGATAAAATATTTATGTGATGTTGTAATGAAGATGGAATGTAATCAGTTATAACTTGTTTTAAACGCCTGCATCTATTAGGAGATAGATCATTTGCTGTTAAGAATCCATAATCCATATTATTATCGTCATGAATAATGGAAGATAATAAATATTGGAGGATGACAAGACTTTTTCCACCAGGAGCAGCACATAAATCTAATACAACATCGGTAATATTTAAGTCAAGTGCTTTAACTACCATAATACTTGCAGCATCTAATAAATAATAGTTCATTATCCCATTTTCATCCTTTTCAGGTTGTTTAAACCTTTCAGAAGAAATATAGCAAGGCAAATCAAGAAATGAAACCTGTTCAAGGACAGGAGTTGATGATAAAAATGATTGGATGTGCTTGGGAGAGGCAAATTTGTTGACAAGTGCACAATATTTGGTAGGATTTTGTAAAGATTGAAACAGTGTTTGCCAACGGTCCTGTCCATATTGTGAGGAATAAAAAGAAGAAAATTGGGAAAGAGTTATGGAATGATGTAAAGAATGTTTCAAGACGAGTTTTTTTTTATTTTTTGAAAGCGAATTAAATTTTTCAGAATCGATTGGTTGAGGTTGTTTAGAATTGTTTAATGTTCTTGTAGAACAAAAACTTTTAATTAGTTTTGGTCCTAGTATATGTCAAATTATTTTTTATATTTTTAAATTTTCATAGGTTTGTTTTTTTAAAGTAATAAAAATAAAATCATTACTTACCCAAAACCCGCCTAAAACTCATATCGTTATTCAAAATTTGACAACATCCATATAAAGAACTTTTATAGAGCTAAAAAAATAAGAATGCATATTAAGAAAACCTGATTGGCCCAAATTTTGTTATCTAAAAAAAAACTAACGCCGAGATTAAAATTAAGCACGTTTAAAAAATTTTAGTTTCGTTGTATATACACACTATATATAATGAAATATAATGAAAAATATTATCATCAAAGATCTGTTTGTTATTAGAAAATTTTTTTTTTATTTTTATCTTTTTTTTCAATAATTACGCTAACAATGCCTGGTCAGTACTAGACGAAATTTTGCGAATGCATTAGTCGTATCGAAAGTATTACAGAAACGTCAAGGCATGGCTATGTGTGATAATATTTCAAACGCAACGATAAAACGTAAAAGCGATTAAAGTGAAAAGAAAAAACGATTGAACGAAGAAAACCGATTGAATGAAGAAAAACGATTAAATGAATTAAATGTAGAAACGTAGAGGTTGACATTTTCATGTTAATGACTAAAGCAAATAAAAAAAACGAAGCTTTGAAAAAACAAGATTTAGGAATCATTCGCCAAAAAAGGTATCGAACCGGTCAAGCCAAGAAAAGAAAATATGTATGTACTGTATAATCATGGGATTAAGAAATCTGAAATTGATTCGCGCTAAGAAACATTTTATCTCCTTGGTTTAGGCCTTCGAACTCTTTCAACACTTAATGCGATACCAGTGCAACTACAAATAACAATAAAAAATTAATATTTTTTCATGCTAAGAAATTAATAACAGGAATCTGCAAGGCCAGCGTGTGCCCATGCCTAACAAAGGCGTACGCATGGACATAGGCATAGATGATCTAAAGTTGATGAGCATTTTTTAAACACAGGTACAAAGTGTCAGACACTTTATAAGTGTAAAGAGCTAGCTTAAATTACTAGACACTAGGACACAAAGGGCTTGGCCTCAAGATGTCTGAAACTTTATATTCCGTGCCTACAAAATGCCTGAAACTTTTTGTGCCCATGGGTACAGACAGCATTTCAAGCACTAGTGCCAGGCATGATATCCAATACTCTCAGTATAGACATTTGCAGATCCGTCATCAATAATATTAGAAAATAAGATATAAAACTCACCAGACTGCACCTTCGCTTACCGCAGCATGATACGCGGTTTGTGTGGCGAAGTCGGCAAATGCACAAGCCTGATTGGAATAAGGTAAGTATTAATTTTATTTTTCAAATAAAATATAAATATTTATGACATTCAAGTAATATTCACTTTAGAAGGTATCATATCGATATTTTCAACGGCACCAAAGGCGTCTTCGAGACATTTCTTTAACGTTTCTTTGTCAATCCCATCTGTAATGGATCCGATAAAAGCTCGACAACTTTTGGAAACTAAATTACATTAAATCGAAATCAAGGGATCCGCAGCAATACGTATCTTAATTCTCTATATGTATTAAAAAAAAACAAAGAACATTGATCAAATAATGATATAAACCTTGTTTTCCACGGGTTTTAGGCGCTGTAACCTTACTATTTAAATCAAAAGACGAAGATGTTCCAAAGTGGCCAAAATTTTCGCTTTGTTTACGTGATGATCCTGATGCAAATGGACTTTTCTGTGTCAAATCCTGAAGAAGTTCGTTTTGAGACTGAACTATTTTTTGATATTTGTCTACGATAGCTTCTTTTTGTTCAAGTTGCGCTCTGAGCGCTTCGCAGTTTCGACAGGGCTTTTCATTCGAACCCATAATTTGAATTTATATCGTATCGTTGCGGCGGAAATTTTTTTCAAAACAAGACCGAGAAGACCAACTAAAAGAGGTGGATAGAGGCTTACAGATTTTTTGGTGCTATTTAATGAAGCTTATATAAGTGCATGAGTAAGGTCAGGTGATAAGCATTGGGTGACTTCAATGAATAACGTGAACAGTTGATTCGTTTGTAATATGCACGTCAATATCAGCAATGCAATCAACGATCGGGAAATTGTTTATGATCCGGCAATTTGCACAAGGACGCCACGGAATTTCATTACAAACCCCGAACCCATTTTGAAAATAATACAAATAAAGACGTGAAACGTCATATACGTAGTAATTATTTGCAGCTATTTACAGAATCCAAAGTTGTCAATGCAGCCGATCAACACTTTTAGATCGATTGGCCCTTCATAGAATCATTGAAAGAATATGCGTGGTCGAAAAAAACCAATTATACTGCGGAGTTCCAAATTTACTATCGCCGTTCCGGTCTGTACCGTAGGAATGGTAGTGATAGTGATAGTAACAGTATCACGTAACAACTCTAATTAGTTAGTGTCAGAGTTAACCCCACGCGAGTCTAGTTTTGCCTTTTACGTATTTATTATTATTATCAAATATTTTTTTTTTGTGACACATATAAACAAGAAAATATATTATCTTTATTATGTAAATTACATAATGTTGTGCCTAAAATTTAGCAATGATTTTTTTTAAAGTTATATGAATCAATCATTTAAGTTTTTTTTTTTTTTTTTTGATAACGATAAATGTTCGTGAATGTTTTTAATTTTTAATTTTTTAAAACAAAAGAACATATGAACTTCAACTTCGTGTTAAAAGAACCATCATAATTGGCTTATTTTATGGAGCTTTGGTTGCACAACTGTCGCACTATGGTTTCATTTCGATCGTATTTAATAGAATTGGAATTTCTTTGCTTATTATAGTAACTGCTTGTATCAATATCACAACCCGTTTTTATTTTAAAACGAAAGATACGTTGATCCACATAAAGCATTTATTGAAGATAAAGAAGCTTTAAAAAGGTTCATGGTTTTTTCCGCTCCATCTAACTCTTGACAAGATGCAACGATCTTTGCTCCCATTCATATTAGTTCCTTTGACTTTATTAAGCTGGTTAAGAGCCTATCTCATATATCATGAGGCGGTTGCCGGTCTTTATGGTGTTCAAATGGCGAACTATTTAAAGAATGAGTCGACCGATTTGCCCACGTTTGATAATCTTACGATTGGTGACCAACCGGATAATATCTTTCATTTCATGCAGGTTTTTATTATTGTTCTTATTGTTTAGGTTTTAATCGTTTTAATATTTTCTATTTCTCTTATTAATCTTAATTCTCTTATTAATCTTAATTCTTGATTTAGGTATCCGATCTACACATATCCAAATATTATAAACCTGGTGGTGCTTCTCATTTTTTATACTTTCTTTCCTCTGCACTTCCTGTTGTTTCGCCCTCTTTTGTGCTCGTAACTGGTGATTTAACCGATGGAAAAGATCATTATCGTGGTAGATCGCATCAGATAATTGATGAATGGACAATGTATCAGAATGCATTACAAGTATGGTTCCCAAATATATCAATATATGAGTATCGCCAAGAGAAAACCCACAAATTTTATCCAATAAGATTTACGGGTTTTCTCTTGGCAACATTCATATAATACCTCTTTTGGATCTCTTTTTAATATTTAATTTTAGGAATCTGGTGTTCTCAATCGTACAAACTTTTGGTATGATATGCGTGGAAATCACGATTGTTTTAATGTGGGCTCTTGGGATAGTGACCAAAACCTGTATAGATTATACAGCGTTGTAAAAAAAAGAGGCTTTGATTTTACGGTAGAAAAAACCTTTGGTCAATATAGATTCGTTGGAATTGATGCATGGTATGTTAATGTTCTATTTTCGATTCTTTATATACATACATACATATTTTAAATATTTGATCTTAAAAAAAAATCCTATTATCTTCTCTAGCCCAAAATCTGGCCCTTCAAGACCTTATAATTTTTTTGGTTATTACGAGATCAGTGATATGGATCGATTATCTGAAAAGTTATTAGATGCATCCGTGAAGTCTAATCATACCTTCTTGGTAATATTCGTTTCATTATATTTAAAATTGATACATACCTCTTGATTGAATTCGTTGTTTTAAAATATTTTTTATCTCATATTAGCTCGCTCATTATCCTAAAGCTACATTATTATATGGAAGAACTTCTAAAGGCGAAACCTTTGAGGATTTATCAAATCATATTAGCGTTTACATGTGTGGCCATTTGCATAAACTTGCTCTTGGTAAATATCTTTGGTTTTCAATGTTCAATAGTTTAAAATTGTAATATATTGATATCTTATTATTATATAATTATTCTTTCATTCCCTATAGGTCTTGGTGATCACTTACAAATATATCGACCTACCAATTATCTAGAATTAGAACTAGGAGATATGAAAGTTAATGCTATGTATCGTATATTAGCTATTGATCATGATTTAATCAGCTTTATTGATGTTCAACTACCTCTACCCGAAATTCCTCTAAAAACCCCTCCGTCACCCGCGGAAGGTTTTTCAGTTTTGCCTGAAAAATTGCCATATCCACCGATCATATTGATTACTAATCCTAAAGGATCCGCATACAGTATGAAATATCGTGAACCTGTGCACAGAATAAAATTTAGTACACACATAAGAATGTTGATATTTTCTGATCATGATATAGATACTATTAATATCTTTTTGGATGGAAAGGTACATGATCAAAATGTGCACTATAAAGGAAATTCTAGAAATGATAATGAATATTTACCTCTTTGGACGTCTCAATGGGATCCTTCGAAATTTGATGATGGTAAAGATCACGTAATTGTTGTTAAAGCTCTTGATATTTCGGGTCAAGTAGGTGAGAGTAGGGTAATATTTCGTGTAGACGATAAAAGGAGCCATATGAATGGTGGCATTAGTGAATTTTTAATAGGTCTAGATTGGGCTGCAGTGGTAAGCTTTTAATTATTCTAGAGTTTATTATAAATATTAATGATGTATCTTATTAACATTAATGATGTATCTTATTAACTATCCTTTTAATAGGCTCGATCTTTCTTTATGATTTGTCATGTAACACTTACAGTTTACATGCTTGCTACGAAATTATACGTTACTTATAATCCAAATCATCCTTTGATTACTTCATTTCATACTTACGAAAAAACATTTACTCAATCCTACTTTCGTAAAACTTTCTTATTGGTTTCTCAACCAATTTTCTTTTATACCCTCTATCTTTATCTCCTTGCGATCATAACAATGCCATTGTTTATAGGTAACATGGTGTCGTCATCACAAGGTGGTTATGGCTTGTTTTGGCTATACGGCATCCAATTTTTCCATAATTTAAGGTGGCTGCCATTAGCCGATACATGGAGGCATGGTGCAATAGATTTCGTCTTTTCAACTATGACCGTTATAATATGGTTTGTGATTGTTACAGGTGATAGGAGGTGGAGAACAAAATGGCTAGTGTGGGGAATTATACTTTGGCTATGGAGAGGAACAGAATTATATAAACTGTCACAGATATATGGACATTTTGTCTTTTGGGCAAATTTACAAACATTCTGGTGGCTCTTTTGGGGTTGGTATGGAATCTCAAAAGGAATAGTAAGCTAATTTTTTTTTTCAAATGTATTACTGTATAAAGTTTTTTTTTTCTGTGACATGTTTTGTATAACAGTTTTTACTAATCTCAAAAACTAGCTAAATAAGTAAAATTGTTCAACGCCCAAATCCTTAACTAAATTTAAACCTATATTTTTACTATAGTTTAGGTCCCTAACCCTAAATTTTACTAGCAGAATTATTTAGTACAATCGTTATATAAATAGAATTTAAATGTATTTATTGTAAAGTTTATTTATTGTTATTTATATAGTAAATATTATGATTCTACATTCCTTTTTGATGTATATAGTTGTGGGTATTTACTTTGATAGCCGATCTTCATATATTAAGAATAAATTTTTTTTATTAAATAATTAATCTATTATATCGTTATTTATGGATCACTCCAGACTGCAAAACAAATGTTACACACTATAAACTTATGGCTAAGTTGCTTGGTGCTTTATGTGTTTACCTTAAAATTTACTGATATAATCAGTTTTCATTATTAAAATCTTGTATGAATTAAATTTCTACTAATTCTATATTTAAAACTATGACAAATTAAAGCAGGAGTGATTTAAAATTGTGTTTCATCAGGCCGAATGAGTTTTGAGATGCATAAGACTAAAAATAGTTGATTGGTGTCTAAATAAAATGTTTAATATGCATTTACTTAAACGTTAAATGTTTTGCAATGATATTTGGATATTTGGTTATTTGACATTTACTTTTACATTAATTTAATGCATTATTCCTGTAAGTATGTTGTAAGTGGGAATGGGATTTAAGTGAATTTGGAAATTCCTATTTAAATTGGGGTTAGGGTTAGGGTGTATATATAATAAAATTAACCTCAAAATGCAGGTTTTATATAAAAATTCCGAATCCACTTAAATTCCGTTTCAACCTACAACAGTATACTAGAATTCTGGTTTAGCATTGCTTCTTTAACGGATATCTAATCCAATTCTGATCATTTAGTTAATGACGAAAAGTAGATGTACGTTATTATGTGATCATTTGCATTAGCTAAGTCTAATTTTGATTGTGATTTAAAATAGAAGAACCGATTACTTATTAGTGCTTATCCGTGACTTACTCCGACAGATATTCAGACAAACCGAATAAAGATGCAGACACTTTCGATCGTGAATTTTATCTCTCCCATCGTTATGATGTAAGAACAGATCCGAATAAAAACTCAGTTTGCCAATGATAACTTATATAAAGCACAATCTTATTATTATATCCACGTACCTAGTATACCCCTAAAAAAAAAGTTACGAAACTGGGTTTAAATTTAAAATGCAGCTTAATGTATTGATTATTAATCAATTTTAATGAACATAATCTGTTTTTTCTTTTACTTATTTCTTATCATTCTAAACAATATGAGCGAAACATCCAAGTACTACAAAAGTTGAAAGAATCCGAAAATTTCGATCACTTTGATAAGTGCTTACGGATGAGAATGAGCCAAAACGATACGAGAAAGAAAATGACAGAATGAATACCAGTATATTGATGAAATAATTCTAGCAATGATGAGATATTGCTTAGGTGATGTATGTAATTTTCAATAACGTATAGTATATTATACAGGTAAATGTCTTTCAAGCTGTTTAAACTTCTTCAGTAAATAAGAAATGATTGAAAGACATCGAACCAAATTTTAAACCAATTGACAAATAGGTAATAATTTATAAAACTTGAAAAAATGAAGAAAATCTGAATAAAACAATGCATGTTTTATCTGGAATGATATTATTGAGGTTGGTATTTTTGTATTCTATTTCTATATTGAGAATCTTGTCTGCTCTAGTCCATTGCTTTAATGTTCTATTGGGTATTTTTAATATTAAGTGTTACTAATTTTTATAATTATATAGATATTTAACATTTTAACATAATAGTATACACTGTATATTTGATAATTGCAAATTACTTAGAAACGATATGCTTATATGTAAGAAAAATGCCATTTAATTGTAGAATAGTCAAATACGGTTATTAAATAATGTATATTTACAAATACAAGTGACTCTCGATATTAGTATGTATATATAATTAAATTAACCAAAATTGACATCCGAAGTCTAGTTTAAGTATATATATTTTCAGTGTAATTCCGCTACTATTTGTCGAAGCGAAGAAATATAGATAGTGAAGGGACTTCATGGCTTAGAAATTAAAACATCATATGTTATGGTTTATTTAAAAAAAAAATTTGATTCTAAAAAATTATTAAATTATTAAATGCGACAATTATCACCATCGCTGATTATAGACTTCTAATTTTGAATATAGGATTTTGTTATTCGGAAAAAATTTAAACTCAGTTTCGTAACTTTTTATCTGCGAATTTGACCAAAATTATAGATAATCAGTTCTGCTATTTAGATCACTGAATTAGTCACAGCTAGAGCTATAACGATAAAATAGATTTAGAATCTACTAGGGATGTTATCCAGCCCAGTTTGGGCCAATAAACTGAGATCCAGAGATAAACTGGTCCGGTCTCAAGACTATGGTCCCAAGATAAAAGACCATGTAAACCCAGTTCTTTTATTATGAGTCTTGCCTGAGTTATATTATAGTAAGATACCAGGGGTTTGGGAGCTTAACCACGAAGCTACGGGATCCGAACTCTGATAATAAATATTAAACTTTAATACGTATAAAAGAATTACATATACAACAAAGGTTTTTTATTACTAAATTCAAGCTTTTCTCTACACAAACTATTATGCTTAACAAATAATAGTTTGTTAACTCATTCAGGTACGATCAGACATTCCTAAATGCATAGTTTATAAAATTACTACGTATAAACTTTAAGCCCCATACGTATTATTTTCAACTTACATATATATTAACTAATTACAAATTTTAGAGCTAGGCATATCGAAAATAGTAGATTACAGTTATTTAACCCACTTTTTTAAAATTTCATAAAAATTGTAGATTTTCTTAATAAAATTTTATAAAAAGAAAACTATTCTAATTTTGGAAAATGTAAATATACTGTTTGTAAAATTCTACGCTGAACACGTTCACTTAGAAGGCGAAAGTAGATTATCTTAGTAAAAAAAAAAAGTACTATGTACTAATAATAGAATTTTTGGTTTATCTATGTACAATTTTTTGTTTTATTAAGGACATCTACCTTCGCCTTCTAAGTAAACTTATTCAGCACAAAACTTTACACGTGTCTACCTGTCAAAAAGCACTTTCTCAGACATTTTATTAAGTGAAAATTTTGGATTGGCTTTGCATAAAAACTTTCGTGCTTGTCTTGCTAAATCATGTTTACCATCATATAAGTGTTTGCATGAAAGATTCGATATAATCTATTGTTTCTGCTATGTATCTTCGAATCAGAAAAAAATAATTGGTTCATTTCTTGTTTTTTGTACATAACAGGTTTCTAAATTTTTTTTACACAAAATTAATTCAATTTTTCATTTTGACAGATATGTTTAAAGTTTTGTGCTGAATAAGCTTACTTAGAAGGCGAAGATATATTGTCTTAGTAAAAAAAAAAGTTGTACATAGATAAACTAAAAATTTTATCGTTAATACATGTCACGAATTTGGCTGATGCTGACGTTCACGTGACATATAATAAAAAAATTTGGTGTCATATACAAAGTTCATTTATGTTAGGGTTAGCGTTTAAATTAGTGTTAGAGGTTATATTAAGGTTAGAGGTCAGTGAGCTATATAATAAATTACAAAGGAACCTTTTTTTGCTAATGCAAATTTTTGACTTACTATTGACCTATCATCACGTGAACTTCAACATCAGCCAAAACCAGCATCAGCCGTGACAATACATAATAAACTTATTTTTTTTACTAAGATAATCTACTTTCGTCTTCTAAGCAATCGTGTTCAGCGTAGAATTTTACATGTAATTACGTTTTTCTTTTAATAAAATTTTATTAAGAAAACCTATAATTTTATGAAAGTGTTCTAAATAACCGTAATCTACTATTTTCGATATGCTTAACTTAAAATTTGAAATTAAGTTAATATACAAGTTGAAAATAATGTAGAGCTTAAGTTTATAGTAGTTTTATATATTTTTTATTATAGTTTTTATTATAAAATAATACTTATATATTAACAAGGGGACATATTCCCTGACTGCTAAATGCAGGATTTTTTATAGGCCCTCGGCTATGCACTTAGAGAGGATTAACTGTACTGAATAGGGTTACAGAGTAATTTGATTTCTTGTATCAAAAAAAAAAAACATTTGCAACAAAAGTGGTGTAGAATTAACAAATATTTATATGCAATTTTGCTCAAAATAGAGAAGATATGAACTAACATAACCGATATTATTAGCCATATACTTTTGTAATGTTATATGACATTCTAAATCGGTATGAATTTTTTTCGTGTGGGATGAAGTATTATGTGCAAAAAGGGACATTACATATGAATAATTAAATAAACTACATTATGTATACTGCCGATTCAAGGTATTGACGTTACTCCAGAATAACGAATACCGTATCGTTATTATACAATACTCTCAACACAACTGCCACATAATTTTTTAATGATGGATCTGAATGAATTAAAAATTGATTTAATAATTATGAACATAAACATAGATCGATGATTTTCGTCAAAATTATAGATCTTACCGGCCATAAGGTATATAACTTGCACTAAAGTAATATATATTATATATTAGCCATAATAACGGATAAATTATATTAATAATCTGAGAGGAAAACTATCAACATACCAATACCAAAATAGGGCTAAAAATTGAACGATGCACATGATGATACAAAGAACAAAGTTTTCTAGCTATTAAAAGCACCAATTTAAAGTGTTAATATGCATTATTTTATTAGAATCAAATGATAGAGAGAGTGTGAGAAAGTACAAACCAAGAATGCCACAACCAAAGTGAGTACCATTGTTACGAAGAAAACAGTACTAGCGATCCAGCGAACTTTATATAAATTATGAAATTAATTAATTTTGTTAGAATAAAATAAATATAACTTTTATGTAGTTGTAAAAAATTTGAGTATACCTGGTGCAAACATTGTCCTCATTTGTTTAGTGAAGCCAACAAGGAACCCAGTACTAAAATGAATTCATTAGATAATTCTTTTGGCTAAAAGGAAATAAAGTACTTTTTTCATACCTTAAAAGTGATACGACATTACCGATAGTGTATAAAATAGCGAATCCGGAAAAGTTACCACTCATTAACATCAAAGTTGACTGCGTACAAAGTAATAATATAAATGGTCAATACATTTTGTTTTAATAAATTTATCGTGCTTATATAAAATATATATTGCTAACAAGTATGCTAATAATAAAGCCAATGCCAAAGCTATTCAACAATGAAAAGCGAATTAGTCAATTGCAAGTTATGGACATACGCATTATGCAAATAGCGTTCCTACCAAATTCCAAAACCATAAAGACGCTCCATTCTTGACAGTTTGAACAAACCATCAAAAGGACTACTTTCGTCCATTGTTCCTTGATCGCCATATCCAACCGAATCCCAAAACTTCATTTTGACCTTTCTTTTCTTATTGGTTTATTAATTGTTTTTAAGATAAGTTGGGTTGGGCTTAGTTCTCTGAATATCGATTGCAAGGCTTATCGTTATGTTTTAAATCCGACAAAATCATGATCAGACCATAACCAGATATGTCGTGATTTTTCACATGTTCTTGCAAGTTTCGATCTTTCGTCACGTGGTGACACGACTTGTACTTCAAGGAAAAATCTTCGGACTTTAAGTACTGAAGTACCCCGGATAATACTAAAAAGGGTAATATTATTGAAACTGGAATGTATTTATTAATTTGACCTAAATTGTTTACTACATTAAGTTTTTTTTTTTTTTTAATGTTAAGGCGAGTACTTGCGACCCAGGATTTTATTTGATAGTATATATTGGCTAGCATCTGTTGTGGAAAGAGTGTACAACTAGCCATTCGTATAATTTTAATCATTGTCTAATTTAAGTAGTTCGCCCAAAGGTTCTATACTAGTTGCTATACCTAGAACTCACTTGTAGGTTCTTTATTTAAATATTCTAGATCTCATATCCATTTTACCCTACCAATGATCTCAGTAAACTGATAAAAGTATAATATGGTCACTAAGTTATGTTTAGGATTAATCATTATATTTTTGTAAGATTCATTCAGATCCTAGTACTTATCTTTCTGACATCTTCTTTATTGTTTTTTATTAATTGCAACTAAGAATTCATAGGATTCTTTAGATTTTCAATTTAGATAGTCTGGTATAGTATATTTTAGTATCTTTTTTTTCTGGTAATTCTAGTAGTCTGATTAGTTATATGTTTCTTTACATGTTTTGTTATCTAGTTTATCTACCTATTTTTATTAAAGATATTTTATAGGTTTTCATCAGTTCAACAGCATTATCTAAAGTTATTATTTTTTTATTTGAAATTTCAAAATGGATTTTTGATTTTTTGGTTTTTTTGTTTTTTGTAATCAATGATCATAGGTTTGCATTAAAGTTTTATATAATATTAGTTATAATATTTTTCTATATATGTGTAATGTTATTATTTATATAAATGTCTTAAGTTCTTATTTAAGATGATGTGACTAAAGATTACAGATATATCAATTCAACTAATCAATAAAGTTAGTTATCATAATATAGATATAATTTCTAAAATTTATTATTTGAGAAATTTAAACTCTAGATCTGTTATTTAAAAATTAACAATCTATCTATTTTATTAAATCATTACATTTCTTATTATATATATATTTTTTTTTTAACTTTGACAATCACAATAATCAACCAGTTAGAAGTTTATTTATAAATGTTTAATATAAACAAAATACAAATATAATTATATTTAATCTCTTGTACTATTATTATATAGTTATCCTAATTGGCATCTATGAGTAATCAACTGCATCAGACCTACTAAAATCTGGATCGAGCTCATCTGTCTGTTATTCTATAATTGAATAGCATCAATCTGATACTATTTGTTCATAAAGAGATAAAAAAAAAACTTCTTATTGGAAAAGGAATATACTAAAAAAAAATATGTATAAGAGAGAAATATAAAAAAAAAACAAATATCAAGAAATAAAAAGAAAGAGATTAGTGACAAAGACTAGACAAACAGTTACTAATTATAAAGACTATGTTAGTTTACTAAAAATTATATGTTACTAAATACAGTAATCTTTATTTTAATTTTATCTAATTAATATATTTAATACTAAAGCTTATATTCTAAAAAAAATAATTCAACCAAAACTAAACTGGCAGAGAATTTTTATGTACTAAATGACCTGATTTCTTGTCACTAGATTTATCTTTATATATGATTCATTATACTTTTACCAGATCTTTTATTTCAACACTTGTTATATTTTTGACCAATCATCTTATCTTTTGCCAAAAATTTCCAATTTCATCTTATTGTTATGTTATTTTCCAAAACACATATACTTATACTTTATCTACAGCATAGTTTTTTCTGAATAAAACTAATAAACAATCCTGATTTAAAAAGATCAACAATGCCAATTTTAATAAAGATAAGCTAGATTGTTCACTTTTTGATAAAAATTTCTTGAAAAAAAGTAGAGAGATAATTTTTTAGAGCACTAATTATAATGAATATAGAAGTATATATTATATAAAATAGCATATCCAACTAGGCTTTTATTTTTGCTATTGCTTAGATATAGCTTAACAAAACTTTCTTGATTGTAGCCAAAGTTACTTTTTTAATAACTTTATAGACTTATACCAGAGAGCCAAACTCATAAGAAGCTGTCTTTTTTAACTCTTTTTCATATTATCTATATGCAATCTAAAACTCTTGAACTTAGATGCTATACAGAAAAGTTTTGTTATATATAAACATACTAACTATATAATTTTTATAGATTGATATATATAAAAAAATTAGTACAAAGGATTATCAGAGAAAATCATTATTATTAGTTGTTCTTATTACATTAAGTTGTTATGTTTTATTAATAAATAGTTAATATATTTGTTTTTTAAACAAAGTTTATTAGATTAAAAATTTTTTATAAATTGTTTTGCATAATAAATATTAATATATTTCTAAAATTATAATTAATTTTTATATGAATATTTTTTGGTAAAACATTATGTTATTAAAAAATATTTAATAAAATATAATAATATAGTATAATATAAGTTGTTATCTTTAATCCTTTCAAATCTATTTTTATATCTAATTAATCTCAAACTACAACCTAATTTTTTAATTTTATATTTACATCTATTTCAGCAACCAACTTTTTAAATTTTTTGATTATTAGTTTATACTTAACAATAAGCAAATAGGGGGTGTGGTGACCTAGTGAAGTAGATAGGTTGTCAACCCCCAAGTGGCAGGTCTAAGGTTCAATTCCCACGAACGACGAATTTTAGAAATTATATCTGTATTATGGTAACTGTCTCTATTGATCGGTTGGGTTTTGGGTATCTGTAATCTTAAATACACCAAGTCGGGCCCCATCTGACATTGGAAGCTCAGAGCATCTATGCGAAGTGTAACATTACATGGTACATGTACATAGAGAAATGTAAAACTAGTGTTATATAAGGCTTCGGGCAAACCTATGATAAGTCCCTCAGACATAGAAGGCTAAGAAACTGAAGAGACAGAAACCCACTTGGAAATCCCAAGTAAAGAGGTAGCACAAAACTTTCAATGATACCATTGGACTGATGGAAGCTCATGAAACACCTTCATAGAAACTGTCGGATAAACCAGATAACAAAGATGTATAGAGAAGCACATGACCAACCAGGCTGCCAGAATCACCAAAAGAAAAGGATACATAAGTATACATACCGGGCTATCTGGATTGGAAGTCTAGGAAGTCAGTTAGTTCCAAGTTGTGGCTAGTAGGTGATGATAGAGAAGAAGTCAAAAAGATAGGTATCAGAGTTTGGATGAACTTTACAAGGGTAATAGTGGTCTAAGGAGTAACTTTGACTGCAAGTGTTGGCCTCGGCCATAGCGTCAAATCAGGTTAGTGGTAAAAAAGAATATGACTTATTCTGGTAGGTTTACCTTGTTGATAAAAATAGTCTAAGGATTATAGTCCTATGGTCGATAGCGAATAGATTTGGGTCTGTGACTCGGTGAAATTAATACCAGAGTTAGATCAGAGGGTTTAAATAGAACATCTAAGCAGGGGTGTTAGGTATGGCAACTGGTGAAGAACCCTCAGGCGGACTCCTTAAATAGGTAATATAGAAAAGTTACACATGTAGCCAGTTGTACACTCGTCTAATAGTTCATTATAGATATGTTTATATAAAACATGTACCCAATATAAGTATTAATAAAAAGCTTGAACCAAAAAGGTCACCTTAATACTAAAAAAAAAAAAAAAACAATAAGCAAATAGCACAAATCAAATTAATTTAAAAAAAAACATTTTAGCTTACAAATATTGCTAGTACAAAAAAATTACAGATAAACAAATAATTTATATTATTAACATTATTTTGCTTATTCAATTTTAAATAACATTATAATTAATCTATTTTTATATAATATGCACAATATTTGAAATACTTAACTTCAATATCATATTTCTAATTTTATTTTACAAATTAACAACTCTTACTTACTAGAAGCTTCTATATGCATTCACTACAATAGCTACAAAATAATCTTTGGTCTATTACAAATATACTTTAATATTCTCAATCTAATATTGATAAACCTAATAGATATATGCTAAACTTTAAAATTATTCAACTTATTATATATATTAATATGTTTATAACAGCTAACAATAGTATATCTTAGCCTAATACTTTACTATATAACCTTCAACTATTAGAATTAATTTTGAACTCATATCCTCAATATACTATCTTCAAAAAGCAACTTAAAAAACTTAATATTTTATATCTTGAATAACTTTACACTGCAGATAACACTACTTTACTTTAGTAGAACCATCTTTTATCTCACTTAGTACAGCTACTTAAAGGATACAAACCATCTTGGTTTGCTTATCTAAAAATACTATAATCACTAATAACAATTTCAGAATACTTTTCTTATATTATCAACAGTCTGAACATAATTCTTTTATTTACAACTCTTAATACATTTTTAAAAAACTTAAGTCCTAATTACTTATATATAATAATATTATTATTATTATTGCCAAAATTCATAGATATTTTAAAAATGATAATCAAACATCTATTACATACTAGAAAACTGATATTAATATAGAACTCTCTACTCATTACTTTCTATCATCAATTTAATGCTTATCTTGTACAAGTTGTTATCTTAACTCTTATAAAGTTGCAATTTTTTGCATAATTAATGTATTATCAATAATTTTTACTCAATTTCTTAAAAGAGTCTCTTCTAATTTACTTAACTTTAATGCAAACTACATTGACTTGATTCATTCAACTGCAATTAAATATCTCTTATTCTTACTTTTTGCTCTTACTATTTATATTTTTTAATTTCTCTATATTGTTATA